TTATATTGAAGTGAAATTTTCTGAGCTTATGTAAATCAATTTAAAGTATTTTCTAAAATTATGTAGAGTTCTACATGGTGTCCCCAAAAAAAAATTACATATCAAAGTTATGTTTTTTGTAATGGAACACCCTATATATTAATTGATTTTTGGATTCAAGTAAAAAAATAACGGTTTGTTTCATTAGAAAATTATATGACTAAAATGTATAGTTTTTGAAATACATTCACCGGCACGAAAAATGGGCACCTTAAAACTTTGATATATTTTAAAGATTAATATATTTTATTTTAATGGGCCGATTTTGATGATTTTTTAAGCAGTGTGTTGCCAAATTATTTGACTTCTTCTTAGTATCTTTTTCTAAATTAAAAATGAAACTCCCCATCTGTTAATTATACGAGGGAAAACAAAATGTTGATATTTTTGATGAAAGTTTGAAACACCCTGTGAAATATGTTAAAACAGCAAGTAATTTAAAAATTATTTTGTCATCTAGATACATCCTTTCTCGATTGATTGTTTTTTGGTTCATCTCATTAGCTTTATTTTTGTTGGAAATATTCGGTTTTAAAGAAGGCACTAACATTTTTCGTAATTTTTACATTAAGACCATGCTTTGCTTTTGGGCCTAGTCAGCACATCTAGTAAGTTCTGGTCCCGAAGCAGGCCTTCTTGACATAAGATTTGCTTCATTTAATCTTCTTCTTGTAGTCCGTTAGTTAATATGTACGGTTCTTAAGTGCAATTCATTATCGATTTGAAAAGCTGGCAAACAGCGATTTCTTAGCGATAAACTTACAATAAGTCGATCGTCTCGATTAGAAGTTCTCATACGAAGGTTCCTGGACGTCTATATTGACGTCCTCATGGACGTGGTCATGATTCAAAGACCATTTAATATACTCTATGGTATTAGGCTATTTTTGGAACCAGAATTTTATAGCAAATTCACTAAACTCGAATAAATAAATGATATATATTTGACTGACCCTGTATATCTATAAAAATATTTTTCAAATGTGAACTACCATTAAACATATATTTTGTAAAAGGTTTGGAGTGAAAATCTCAAATAGGAATCCTGATACAGAGCTTTTCGGAAAAACGGAGCCATCTTGTATGTATGCATTTGTATATGTGTGTGTTTATTTATATACTAAAGTGAAAGCAACGAATCTAAATAGGTAAACTTTGTGTAATATAACTTATTAACAATACAATGCAAAAAGTTTTATAAAAATTCGTTCACAGTAAATGAATTCCGAGGTTTGTATCTCATAAGGGCTTAAAGCACTTTACAAAAGACTTATTTTTAAAGTTTTAAAACTATGTATTTTCATACCCATGTTTACAGTAACTTTTTTTCATATTTTTATGAACACAACACGCTCTATAATAACAGGTATATTACAGTACCGCTAGCATATACCTACAAAATATTCTCCCACACATTTTTTTATATAAAAAGAAAGTACCCGAGTACTACACACACAGAGACCGAAGATGATCGGCATTTGAAGGCGTTAATCAATTACGTGATAGACGTGTGGTAAAATTAAACCGAAGAATTCCTAAAGAAAATTATAATAATTAAGCACGGATCTTCTCTCTGCGTTATAGTACTGCCTGCGTGGTACCGGAACGCGATAATTAAACCTAAGTACCCACTCTGAAACTCGTTCCTCAGCTCTATCGAAAGGAGGTACCACAAAAAATCTTACTCTCGGCGCATTTAGGACGTTTATATGACCTTGCCTATAAAATAGGCACCTCAGGAAGATTTATTTTTGGTAAATTTGTCAAAAAAGGTAATATTTTTGTATTATAAAGATCATAAAGTTCCTAAATAATCTGTATATAAAAATTTAAATATAAATTTTGAATCACTCAAGAAATTTTTTGAATCCTCAAATATTAGAATATTTTTTATTTAAAACCGATGAGTTTTTCGGAAAAACTCTTAAACATGTATATTTTATTTTGTTGTTTTTGTATATATTTTAAGCTTTTTTAATTTTTTTTTTTTGATTTTTGGTAAACGGATTGACTGTGGAGTGTAAAGGTTCGATAAGGAGGGGTTTCTCGAATCTCAAATTCCAAGAGGGTGAAAACGCCCCTCAAATATTACAATATTTTTTATTTAAAAAACGGTTAGTCTTTCGGGAAAACGCTTGGACGCGCATAATTTATTTTGTTTTTTTTACATATTTTGAAATTTTTTAAAAAATCATACAGGCTGTTCCAAAAAGTTGGGTAATTGATTAACCACAATTCTGCTTAAACTGCTTGACGTAAAAAGGTTATTTTTGGCAAACGGATTTTTCGAAAGTCAAATTCCAACGAGATGAAACTACCCCTCAAATATTACCAAGTTATATAATAATATCGCCATATTATTTTTTCTCATGTTGACATAAATGTGAGAAAAATTTATCCAGTTTGTATGTTAATAGAAATTCTTGCTTTGCTTTATCATCACTATTACAAATGATTAATTCGACGCGAACGAAGTCGCAGGTACACGCTAGTCTGTATATAAAAATTTAAATATAAATTTTGAATCACTCAAGCAATTTTTTGAACACCCTGTGTACATACTTTAATCATAATTAATTTAATTTAAAATAAATATAAAATTATCTTTAAACTGCAAAAATAAACGAATTTAAAAGAAAAATAACTACGTCAATATCATTTCCACTACTAACCACTCGATTTTAAATTACTTTTATGCGATTTGATAAGATTCCATATAAAACCCAACCAATTAAAAGTATCTAGTACCTAGTACCACCTAATATTCATTATCTAATCTTAGATCATCGACACTTAAGTTAAGAGAACGTTTAAACATTTACAAATAAATTATGCATTTCACTTGAAAAACTCTTGTTACTTTTGCCCACTTATTTTCTAGTACCAGTACCACAGCCAGTACCATCTAACGGCTAAGAATTCTATGGACCCTGGTAATTTAATGGCTTTTCCCATACACGTGTGAAAACATCGAGCAGATAGATCGTTTTACATTGAGGAAGAATTATTTATTGCCATCGTACCAACAGGTATAAAAGGGTTGGAACTTTTATAAGTACCTCAGTTTATACAGGGTGTCTCAAAAAAAAAGTTATATTTATGTTTACAACCGAGCAAAATCAAGAAATGGAGAAATAGCCTCTGTAAACTGTCTGTGTTACTGGCTTTTGTTAAAGCTCCGAGACTGTATGATGAGTGATAACTCAAAAAAGGGGGGCCATTGTTTTAATTTTTTAATTTACATAATTATTATAAAGTTTTCGCATAGTTATATTACTCCCCATTATCAATTTAGACAAATAAAGCACTAATAAAAAAGTGACAGAAACAAATAAAACGAAATCAAATTAAATTAAAGGATTGTTTGAAGTTAATATTTGTACTAAATGTGAGTAAACCGAGGTTTTAATCAACTCCCCTGGCTAAAGGGGAGTGAGTTTGGCACAAAGAAAGCATCTTTAGGAAATCTCCGGAGTGTTAGGAGTCGTATTAAGAAGGGAGTCACGTTATATAGAGCCCCAGAAACATATTGGGCTTATTGTGTTTCCATCATAGCCTGTGGGGAGCTTAGACGGATTGATTAATGGATAAAACCTTGCTTTCTGGAGAAAAACACTATTGTCCCTTACTTAAATAGTGTTTAAAACAGATGACAGCTTTTTAGAAATAGAAGAAAATTTCAGTTTTCCAAGATTTATTACAAGAAATATCAGATTTTTTTTAAAGACTTTTTCAAGACTCGAGAAAATTTTAAAACGCTTTATTAAGTACTTAAAATCACATTTTACAACAATGGTTATTCTTAGTAGCGGTTCTAAGTGCCTAGTTAATAACAGGTTACAAAAATATTTTATGTTACGTAGTTTGGGTTTTTATAGATATTAACAAAAATGTATTCAGTAAAAGTGATCAATCTAGTTTTGATTGGTTAATTATAGTCTATATGCAGTTTTTAGTTTAATGATATCTAGAAATTCGAAAGATTTAGTTTTGAAAAGATTTTTTTCTTATGGGCTGAATTTATAAAATCTAAAAAATTCTTAAAATAAATTGCCTTCATTTAGGTTGTTTTGTAAAGAGTCTTACACACTTATACAGCATTTAAAAATAAAAACATCAAGAATATAAATAGCCTAAATTTTGAAGGAGTTAAAAAAACTATAAACTCAATGTGCAGAAAATTTTGAATAAAAATCGTCATATTTCAAAAATCACTCGGTATAGATTTTTACATTATATTATTTTTAGAGTGGGATTTTTTTTGCTAAATCCTTAGCGCTAAAACCACAGTTGCCAAAACTACAATTTTAATATGGAAATAATGTTTTGCATCACCCTAGGTATTAATGAAAAAATAATATGTGTGTCATATTATTTACCGCACATTTTGTAAAAAGAAAAAAAGAAAAATATAATATCTACAAAACTGGTATAAATATTTTGCAAAACAGTGGCCACCCTGTATGTACATAATATTATTAATAATATTGATCTACTGATTATTTTATATCCCTCCATATCTAATGATTATTTTATATCTATTTCATATCTACTTAAATACCTAAACCTCTTAATTTTGAACAGTGTGCATTTTATACCCATCCTGTATAATGTACTAGACTTTTTCGATTTATGTTAGCATCATCAGTAGATAATTAAAATTAAATCAGTATCAAAAGTAAAGTATTTTGGTGTATTGTAACGAATTAGTGTTTTATTTTGCTATAATGAAAATTTTAAAAAATAATAATAAATAATGAAAAAAATCAGGGTACTCAAATCACTTTTACTTATTACAAAAAAAACACACTGAAGACACCTCTAAAAGAACTTAAAATCAATATTACATAACAGTGAATAAAATTATTTAAGACATATAAAAATCAAAGCATTATTCCAGATGAATTTTTGCATTTTTTAAAAAAATAAAATCACAGTAAAAACAATAATTATCAACTCACCGATAAAAATACATGATTTCCTCCTATTGTTTTTCAAATATTGAACCAAATTTACTTAAAACTCCGTATTTTTATAGTCTTCCAGAAAAAAGTCTCACTTCATTATATGACATAAAGAAACATAAAAGTCTCCAGAACGTTGTTCATCTTAGAATCCTTTAACCGTTCAACAACATTTCCCGAAACTTTTCTCAATTCAAAAAACACTCAAATCACAAGAAATAAACTTTTTCGGCGCGGTTTCAACTGCGAAAAATTAGTCCAACTCTTCGGCGATGGTTTTCCAGCCAGCGGAGAGTCGCTCAAAAGACGGGCGAACGCGAAATGAAGAGCGCGATCGTGGCGAGGCCTCTGAAATAGCGGTGCTACGGCCCCAGGTCGCAGAAGAAGCTCCAGAAGAACTGAAAGACCGGACAAACCTACGCAGGACGCGGTCACCACGGGGAAAAACACTTCCTGAATGTTCTTGTAAGCTAGAAATTTGGAGATTTTATTGTCGGGTTGATACAAGAATCACCACGAGATGTTTTAGAAAGAATCCTTTTATTGTTGTGAAGTACTTTGTTGAAAGTACTTTTTGATTAATGTCTCTTCAACCCTTTAGAGAGTAGCCTTCCCAGTTTGTTTAATCTCGTACCACACGTACTTACTTTGAGAGGCTCGTTCAAGCCAAAATCAAAATATCAAATTCAAGATTCCCCAATATACAGGGTGGTCCGAACTGTATTCCGGAAAGTTCGGCAGCATATTCTGCAGATAAAAATAAGTAAAAAAGTTCGTATCAATGTATGTCCTAAAATGCTTAGTTTCGGAGATACAACTATTTGAAAAAATCGAAATAAAAATGGAAGTTACTACACCCTGTATCCCTGAAACTAAGCATTTTATGACCTACATTTAGCCGAACTTTTTTAGTTATTTTTATCTGCAGAATTATGCCACCGAAGTTTCCGGAATCCAGTTCTGACTACCCTGTATATTTCAGATCTTTCTTGTTTATTGTCTAAGGAATATTCCTGATATTATAACTTTTTTACTTTCAAAATATCACCCTGTATACAACTACTTAGCAGTTCTTCTTCCTGATCAAAAACTTATACCTCATTTCCAGATTTTGCAAAGAAATACTACGTTATATTAAAATATATATTCTAACTAGAGTTTTAATGTGTATTCACAAGCGTGGAGACCACCCATTGGCTAAAAAAAAGAAAAATGGTGCCTACTTCCCATGTCAATTAACGTTAGAGAATCTTATGGAGTGGTCTATGTGTTTTGAAGCTGCCGCTTTCAAGAACGCTTCAGTTATCTATCATAACATGCGTTTACGGTTGATGACTGAAGTCCCTACCAAGAAAGATGCTAATCTTTCAAAAAAAAATAATAATTTTCTGCAGTATTTTTATTAATTTTACTTGGTTTTATGATTGTCTGCAACCCACCTGTTCTTACGCTTACAGTTCAAAGAGATGTTATCACAGACTCTGAAATAAATCTTTGCCAAGAAAAAAAGATAAACAGAACAAGCCCCTGCCTTGTTTTAACTGTATAATAACTTTATGATATAGAAAACATCATAATTTTTCGCTGAAAGTTAGTAATTTCAGGCTGCTAAAGCCAGAAAAGAAAATGTTAAGCGAAATTTACGAATGTTGCTGTTGTTGTTGGACTTGGCTACGTATTCTGCTTATTACATGCTGTACTCCAAACTAGGGATGTATAAAAATATCGATTTTTTTCTCAATATTGATACGTATATTTTTATTTTAATTTTACCGATGTAGATACTATGTGTTTGAGTCGTTTAGGCTAGTCAACTCTTCTCATTTTGACTTTCTTAGATCTTTTATCAAAGAGTCTGATTTATAATTGCAGCTTTGGGTCGATTTTTAATGACTAATTCGTTCTAAATCGTTCCAGATCGATATTACAATATCGATATTTTTTTATGTGTCATACATTCCTAGTATAAATACTGTAACGGTTTTAGTTGCCCCAAAACCAGTAGCTCCTGATGTAACTTTAAACAACTAGTACAAAATAAGGGACGCCGAATCACGAAAGTACCGTATGACCAAAAAAAAAACGGCGTCAAAGACGGCTAGGGAATGACATTCAAGATCAATCTCCAGACACAATTCACTAAAATTAATATAAAACTTGTCAAAAAATACACCAATTCAAAATAATTTTACTCAATATAAAAATAAATTAGAACCTTCTAGGGCTTAACCTCGTCAAAATTATCATAGATTGTCATTCCCCAGCCGCCTCTGACGCCGTTTTTTTTTTTCGATCGTACTAAAGATATCGATATTTTTTGTATTACCACATCTCTACTAAAAGTTAAAAAGAAAAGTAAGTTTTGCGTGTACAATTGAACCACCAACCAACACAAACACATACAGAACGGCATATATACATAGAGGGGAAGAAAAAAAAGGATAAAGAAAGTAAAGAATCGTCGGCAAAATCAACAAAAGGCCAGACTTAAGACAGACTGGCCAAGTTGAAACGTTAAAAGTACCCTGGGCAGACGGCCGCACGTCAATGATATCTTTGTCTAAGCTGGAATATACAGGGTGAACTAAAAAAACTCAAAATATATTTTTTCTACGATCATAGAAAAAAAAATAGTGTAAATATGTATCATTTACACTCAAAAATATAGACAAATTAAACGTAAAAATATTTTTTTCCTAAGTGTAAAAACTGCATCCCTTTTAGACATTGTATAGAATATCACACGAAATACTCATGTGTGTATTAGACCTTGAACCTTAATCATTGTATTGTTTATTTACACAACAATCAAAAAAGAAGTAAAAAAAAGGATGTTCATTGTTCATTATTCTTAATTTTGTCTTCCAAAAATAATCTGTGTTAATTTGCTATACTGCTGAAAAAAGAAAAAAATACTTAATTGGAAAAATCCATTTTTTTTATTTCAAATTTTACAATGACCTTATGTCTAATTAGAAGTAAATAATATAAAAAATAATATTTTCTCGTTGTTGTTAATTAAAAATAGTGATAAAATTGATTTAATTTGAAGCACTACAAAATATAGAGTCTAAAAAAGATCAAATAAACATTAATTGTTAAGAAAAAAAGACAAGAAAACAAAGAAAAAAACAAATAACAAGAAATCATAATAGAGTTCTAAAAAAATATATTAAATCTTTCAATTAATACATATTACCAGTCTAAATAATAACAATATGGACAGAATAATACAAAATATAGAAATTATTTATTTTTTCGATATAATACAAACGCATGGTTAAATTTTTAATAAATGTGCATTAATGCATATATGCACAATACTGAAATATTATTAAACCAGACTGATATTCAATCAATCGAGTTGTTAAGGGCAACAGGCAGTTATATGACCAAAAGTGTCTAATTGAACAGTTCATCAAAGGGAATATATACCTTTTGTTAGCCATTCAATGCATTGATAAGGTTTTTCAATAGTATAAGCGTTTAAATTTTAGTCTAGATTGATGTACCTATTTTACGAATAATATACAGGGTGGTCAACAAAAAAGTTCATTTAAATGTATATCCTAAAATGACTCCTATTTGTAGTGGCCGCCACCAGCAAGTTTTAACTGTGTTGAAGAGTAATAACTTTTCGTACTTTACACGGACGTACGAAAAGTTAAACTACTGAGTAAAAAATATACATTTTGCGCTCTTTGAAGACTCTGTGAATTAAAGAATATTTAATAAATACTTTTTTTATTCCTTATATGCTTCTTTCAAAATTCCTTCGTAAGATGCCAGATACAAAAAAGATACCATCAAATAATACAATGTAGCTATACATCAACTTACGACAAAAATAATTAGATCAATAAATTAAAATATTAATCTCTCTAATATCTAAAAGTAGATCAACTATTTGCTGTGGGCTCTTAATATATTTGGTAAGCTTGTTAACCAGCGTACCAATCAATTGTAACACAGTTATATTTCGATTTGACGATTGATCTCAATCGGGTGATTGATAGAGAAAGCCTCCTGAATCATTTTTGCAAGCCCAGTGATCGGATGCCGAAGATATCGATATAATAATCGCAAAGAATTTTTATTTATGATTATCTATAATATATAATAATTACGATATAATAATATATAATACCATAAATCGATAAATCAATAAATCAATAAATCAATAAATCAATAAATCAATAAATCAATAAATCAATAAATCAATAAATCAATAAATCAATAAATCAATAAATCAATAAATCAATAAATCAATAAATCAATAAATCAATAAATCAATAAATCAATAAATCAATAAATCAATAAATCAATAAATCAATAAATCAATAAATCAATAAATCAATAAATCAATAAATCAATAAATCAATAAATCAATAAATCAATAAATCAATAAATCAATAAATCAATAAATCAATAAATCAATAAATCAATAAATCAATAAATCAATAAATCAATAAATCAATAAATCAATAAATCAATAAATCAATAAATCAATAAATCAATAAATCAATAAATCAATAAATCAATAAATCAATAAATCAATAAATCAATAAATCAATAAATCAATAAATCAATAAATCAATAAATCAATAAATCGATAAATCGATAAATCGATAAATCGATAAATCGATAAATCGATAAATCGATAAATCGATAAATCGATAAATCGATAAATCGATAAATCGATAAATCGATAAATCGATAAATCGATAAATCGATAAATCGATAAATCGATAAATCGATAAATCGATAAATCAATAAGTCGATAAGTCGATAAATCGATAAATTGATAAATCGATAAATCGATAAATCGATAAATCGATAAATCCATAAATCGATAAATCGATAAATCGATAAATCGGGATAAATCGATAAATCGATAAATCGATAAATCGATAAATCGATAAATCGATAAATCGATAAATCGATAAATCGATAAATCGATAAATCGATAAATCGATAAATCGATAAATCGATAAATCGATAAATTGATAAATCGATAAATCGATAAATCGATAAATCGATAAATCGATAAATCGATAAATCGATAAATCGATAAATCAATAAATCAATAAATCAATAAATCAATAAATCAATAAATCAATAAATCAATAAATCAATAAATCAATAAATCAATAAATCAATAAAATCAATAAATCAATAAATCAATAAATCAATAAATCAATAAATCGATAAATCAATAAATCAATAAATCAATAAATCAATAAATCAATAAATCAATAAATCAATAAATCAATAAATCAATAAATCAATAAATCAATAAATCAATAAATCAATAAATCAATAAATCAATAAATCAATAAATCAATAAATCAATAAATCGATAAATCGATAAATCAATAAATCAAT